CCCTTCCTGAGAGAGTGCAGACCCTTCCTGAGAGTGGAGACCCTTCCTGAGAGAGTGCAGACCCTTCCTGAGAGTGGAGACCCTTCCTGAGAGAGCAGACCCTTCCTGAGAGGGTGTAGACCCTTCCTGAGAGGGTGTAGACCCTTCCTGAGAGGGTGCAGACCCTTCCTGAGAGAGTGGAGACCCTTCCTGAGAGAGTGGAGACCCTTCCTGAGAGAGTGGAGACCCTTCCTGAGAGTGCAGACCCTTCCTGAGAGAGTGGAGACCCTTCCTGAGAGGGTGCAGACCCTTCCTGAGAGGGTGCAGACCCTTCCTGAGAGGGTGTAGATCCTTCATGAGAGGGTGTAGACCCTTCCTGAGAGAGTGGAGACCCTTCCTGAGAGGGTGTAGACCCTTCCTGAGAGAGTGGAGACCCTTCCTGAGAGTGGAGACCCTTCCTGAGAGGGTGCAGACCCTTCCTGAGAGGGTGTAGACCCTTCCTGAGAGTGTAGACCCTTCCTGAGAGAGTGTAGACCCTTCCTGAGAGAGTGTAGACCCTTCCTGAGAGAGTGTAGACCCTTCCTGAGAGAGTGTAGACCCTTCCTGAGAGGGTGTAGACCCTTCCTGAGAGGGTGTAGACCCTTCCTGAGAGGGTGTAGACCCTTCCTGAGAGTGGAGACCCTTCCTGAGAGTGGAGACCCTTCCTGAGAGGGTGTAGACCCATTCCCAATGGCAGGTGCCATCTTGGACAAATACAGAGAAAGGAATGATGTCTTCTATGATACAATCAAATCTTTTCACAATCAGGCTCTTGGCGAGGTGCATGGAGCAGATGATCTAGCCCATCAGTTGGTTTGAAGTTTATGCAACTATGTTAGAAATAATACACATCTGTTTCTGTTAATCATGTATCATTGCTGTGAGAAAATACCTGAGCAAAGAATTTGAAGGAGGAAGCTTCGGGGGTCTGAACTCTGGTCCTCTTGCTTACAAGGCAAGGCCTTAGCCATTTCCAGTCCTATTTTGGCTTGATTATGAAAGGTATTTTTTAAGTGAAATTTTTATACAATACATTAATGTTTTATTTTACTAAATGCAGACTACTTGCCTGTTTCTTTTCCTCTTTAGCCCTTGAAAGATGTGGCAACTACTCATGGATTCCTGATATGTTGCTTCCAACAAGCAACCTGGAGGCATCCACGTCTTTATATTTTTATGTTTTGTGTCCTACCACCACCTACTCTTTAGATTTTCTTTTTTCTTCTTTTTTTTTTTAAAACATATTTTCTGTTTTGTTTTGAGACAACTTTTAATGTAACTCTGGCTGATCTCAAACTTTCTGTGTAGCAGAAGATCACCTTACGTTCCCCGTTGACCTTCCTGCCTTTTCCTCCTCAGTTCTGGGACTCAGGGCGGCTACTCCACACTTAGTGTTAGCACTGTTGTGTTTGTGTTGTGTGTTTTGTTCCCCATTTTTATATGATGGTCCTCATGCAGTTTATTCTTGTGAGTATGTGTAAGTGCACGTTCATATGTGTATGTGTGCTCATAGGCATGAGGGTATTGTGTGTGTGGAGAGCACAGGTTGACCTCAGATGTCATTCCCCAGAGGCACTAACCTTAGTGTGGAAACAGTGTCTCTTACTGGCCTGGAGCTCCTCAAGGCTACCTGGCTGGCTGGTGAGCCCAGTGGTCTGCCTGTCTCAGTTCCACCTTGTCTCACTTTTTAAAACATGGGTCCTCACACTTGCAAGGCAGCCCTGCGCTGATGGCTCCGTCTCCCAGCCTTGTCTTGTCTTCTTTCTGTTTCTTGGGTCTGGGGTTACTGAGCTTCCTGATTTACAGCTTTCAACAACTCTTGGAAGTTTTGGCCATGAATTTTTCAAGCATGTTTCCTCTTCTCCCTCTCTTTCCTCAGGGACTCCTCTGAGACCCAACCTATCCTGCAGTCTAGTGCTGCTCTCCTAATTTTCAATAAAAAACCTTTTATCTCTGCATTTCATTAATAATTTCCCCTGTGATATCTGATCCTCCATTAAGATCAGTATCTGATCTTCCAGTTAAGGCATTCTAGCTTTCTCTTCTGTGAGTTTTGAGCCTTTAAATTAATCTTTATAGTTTTACATAGTTTCTCCAAGAATAGAACACAGACATAACAAGAACTATGGTGTCCTTGTCTCTTTGGTCTAATAACTGCAATGTTCAGTGCTTTCAGGACTGATTTCTTCCTTTATTACAGGTTTCTTCATTTGTTTCTTGAAATGCCTGGTGAGAGTTGTAATTACCTCTCTGGTTTGGGATTATTTTATGGTCTATAAATACTCATGTCTTTTATTTTGTTTGAGATACCATCTCACTTTGTAGTGCAGTTTAGCCTGGAACTTAGAGAGTAGCCTAATTTGGCCTTGTGGGCACCTCACGTCAATCCCCCTGCCTCAGTCTCCCTAGTGATTGGGATAACATGCATGAGCCACTCCCATATATTCTTGACTGTGTTCAGAGTTGCACTGAACTTTTCTGAAAATAATTTGATTCTCATAGGTGTTGATCTTAGAGGCTGATGGTCAGAACCCAAGAAATACTCCGTGTGGGGCTAATTAGGCTTTTATGAGTGTACTACACAGTGCCTCCGTGATAATGAACATTTCCATTTGGCCTGGGAGCAGACACAATAGCCAGCCTTATGTAAACACTGGGTACCATTCTCTCTCATCTTCTAGTAGTTCTTTCCGCTGCCTATACAAGTTCCTTCTAAACTCTCCTGGTCAGTACTCAGGTAAATACTTAGGATGGAGGATCCTTTGCAGTTTCTTGGAGTTTTTCTGGGCTTCTCTGAAGTCCATATCCTCAACTGGTCCTTTCAACTCTCAGCTCTCAGCTCCCTCCCTTTGAACCAGAAGGTTTGTTAGATTTTGACTTTATTTCCCTTCCCTGATGAGCTCTGAAGACTTCTGCAAGCATCCCCTTAATGCCTGTCTGTCAGGGAGGGCTGCCCTTTGCCCCACCCCCTTGTGGGTTGTTTAAGAGAGAGACAATGAAATTTAATCCTTGGTACCTTTTTATGGCCAGAAGAGAATTATTAGCTGGACCTCTAAAAAAACAATCAGAAGAATCTCCCTCAACCCCAGCTTATGGCCCATAAGATGTATAAATTGGGTTTGATAGATGCTATGTAACATTGCCCTCTCCCTGAAGAAAGGAATGACTCCATTGCATTGCTTAATTCGAAGCATTTCGTTGTTTTGTGGAAACACTTCCTCAGTGTCAGTTCAAGGGAAATGGCTACCACAGATGATCGTTATCAATAACCAGGAAGTAGTGTGACATTGTCAGCAGAGACGAAGATGCTGGGTTGAGTGGGAGACACTATATACGTGCAGGCGCCTGCCTGGGAGCAGGCTTGCTAGAACTACCTGGCTAGGAGGATTTGCTGTACTGACATCATCTGGTGTGATGTTGGATGCTAACAGCTCTGGTAGCCTGCCGCTGGCTGCCAAAGTTTCCTTGGCATTTTTCATGTCTCTCCTTGCTTTTGCTATAATGCTGGGCAATGCTGTGGTGATTTTAGCCTTTGTGGTGGACAAAAATCTTAGACATCGAAGTAATTATTTTTTTCTTAATTTGGCTATTTCAGACTTCTTCGTGGGTAAGTTATGTGTTTTTATTTCAAATAATCTTTTCAAACTATCATTTATTTCTAAAACCTTAAATTCTTGTTACTTTGGAGATTGTATGGATTGGACGGGACCAAGAAGAAAAGCTAAAGTGTTAGATATCTGGAAAGGGTATTTATGCCACTTTAAAGGAAATTCTGTGCATATGGCTAATGGAGGAAGTTTTATTTGAAAATAGTTCATTTTCTTTATAGACTAAATGAGTCCCGAATAGTTCTAGAATTATTTTAATGTCATGGTTAGCTTGTTTTCAGAGCTATTTTCTAATATCTTTAGACTTACAAGTATTCTTTCCTAAGTAAGTATGGCTTCCTTTGCATCCAGTGTGGAAGTAACAGAAATCATGTCTTCAGGAAGCCAGCATTGCCAGGAAGTGGGGTAAGCTCCGGACAGCAGGTCAATGTGCTGTGTGGCACGGACTCGTACTCACCCAGCAATCCACTGCTCTGCATACAACAGAGGGCCACAGCGGCAGGTGATTGCGAGAGTCCACAAAAATCAGATTCCTCCTCCACTGAAAACATTTTTAAAAAATTGTTTTCACTCCCTATCGTTAGTTACGACTTTCTGTGAGCCAATGCTCTGCCTGCTGGGCTGACGAGGCGTGTTCTCCTCTCTTCTCAATGCCCATCACAGGGTAGCTACAGTACTCCAGATGCGTCTCACAGGAGCTCCTAGGAGACTTTCTCTTGGTATAGCCACATTATTTTCCTGCATAGTTATGTAAAGCTTGTGTTTATATTACAATACAAATCAGAGGATGAAACTCAGAGGATGCTCCAAACACCGTGGTTGCTCAACAGATGTTAGTCCCTTCTGTTTTGACTTCTTGACAGATATGTTTAGCTGAAACTGAGTTCACCAATACTTGTATCCTACACAGTACTTGCTAACATAGCTGGCCACTCTGTACTGTTAGGTAACCAGAGAGTCACATTTCCCATTTCCTCTACCTAGACAGCTTCTTTTTTTTTTTTTTTTTTTTTTTTTTTGGTTTTTCGAGGCAGGGTTTCTCTCTGTGTAGCTTTGCGCCTTTCCTGGAACTCACTCGGTAGCCCAGGCTGGCCTCGAACTCACAAAGTTCCGCCTGGCTCTAGACAGCTTCTTCTGGAGGTCGCCTTTACCATGCACTCACCGAGCGACAAGAAATGGGGCAGACCCTGAGAGCCTTGTGTAGTAAGAGCTGAGCTTCCTGCCAGTGCGCTCTCCTTTGCTCTCCTCTGAAGTGTGGGCCTTGGCTCTGAGCCCAGAGGGATGCTGAAGGGGAGGCTTTCTGCAGCTCTAAGTCAGTGAGTTTGTCTCTTCCTTCAGTGGCGTAGAATGTAAGGTAAGCTCACAGGGCTGTTGGAGTGCGGAGCGCTGGGAGGCCCCATGGCCACGCACTGAGTGCTGTGGACGCTCAGGGGAGAGATGAGGCATACTTGGTTACAGTGGCATCCCAAGAGCAACCCTGAAGTCAGAGAGGATTTCTACAGTTAGAGATGGGGAGAGGATCCCCAGAATCAGCAATGGCAAAGGTACACGTCATTGCGTGTGTTTTCCTGAGTGTGCACTGCAGGCTGGCTGAGTGAGTGTGCACTGCAGGCTGGCCGAGTGTGCACTGCAGGCTGGCTGAGTGAGTGTGCACTGCAGGCTGGCTGAGTGTGCACTGCAGGCTGGCCAAGTGTGTACTGCAGGCTGGCCTAGTGTGCATTGCAGGCTGGCTGAGTGAGTGTGCACTGCAGGCTGGCCAAGTGAGTGTGCACTGCAGGCTGGCTGAGTGAGTGTGCACTGCAGGCTGGCTGAGTGTGCACTGCAGGCTGGATGAGTGTACACTGCAGGCTGGCCGAGTGAGTGTGCACTGCAGGCTGGCCGAGTGAGTGTGCACTGCAGGCTGGCTGAGTGAGTGTGCACTGCAGGCTGGCTGAGTGAGTGTGCACTGAAGGCTGACTGAGTGTGCACTGCAGGCTGGCTGAGTGAGTGTGCACTGAAGGCTGAGTGAGTGTGCACTGCAGGCTGGCTGAGTGAGTGTGCACTGCAGGCTGGCCTAGTGTGCACTGCAGGCTGGCTGAGTGAGTGTGCACTGCAGGCTGGCCGAGTGAGTGTGCACTGCAGGCTGGCTGAGTGAGTGTGCACTGCAGGCTGGCTGAGTGAGTGTGCATGCAGGCTGGTTGAGTGTGCACTGCAGGCTGGCTGAATGAGTGTGCACTGCAGGCTGCTCTTCAGATGGTTGAATGGAGGAAGCAAGGGCTGGAGCTGGACGTGTGGTGAAGACCAACGACAGTGACTTTTTTCCCTGACTGTAGTAGAAATTGGACCCAGAGTCCCATGGTTAGTAGGAGTTATATTGGCCGTGTGTGCGTGCGTGCGTGCGTGCGTGGGTGCGTGCGTGCGTGCGTGTGTGTGTGTGTGTGTGTGTGTGTGATTTAAATCAACAATCTTCACACTTCTGTCTTCAACATTGTCTCTCCAGCTAACATTTCATCTAGATACGGGTCCATACACGTTGTTCTCCGTGCTCCCCTTACATGTGTCAGTTTACAAGTGTGTACAAGCACAGACAGCAGTCCCTCACTGTCTTCCTCCTTCACAGAATTATATCACCTTTAGGTAACACTTAGATTTAAAAGAGATGATGCACTTTGACCCAACGAGAGCGAGGCCTCGATGACTCTGACACTAGGGAGGGTGAGGTGAAGAGATGAGAGAGCCTTGGACTGGGAACTTTCAAACCGAGATGGTTTCAGATAAGAACGAGTGTCTCTGTCTGGTTTGAGGCAGGCAACAAAAAGGCGTCTCCATTCAGGGCTTAAGCCAGGAGATGTGGCCTGCCTCCGAGAAATGGCCTGCAGGTGTGGTTACTTAGTAGAGTTGGTGGTCCCCTCCACCCACATGTGGATGGGTAAAGAACAGCTTTGCTTCTGCTGAGAGACGTCATGAGCAGGCCAAACAGGACTTCTTTTTTCTTTTTAAAATATGTGCAGCGAGACTCTGTCTCAACAAAAAGTGTGCATGTTATCTGTGTGTGTGTGTGTGTGTGTGTGTGTGTGTGTGTGTGTGTGTGTGTACAAGCTCCTATGTGCGTGCGTGCGTGTGGATGTGTACATGTGCATGTGAGAGCAGGAGAGAACCTCAGGGGTCACCGTCAGGAGTACTGTCACCTCCTTTGAGGTAAGGTTTCTCAATGGCCTGGGACTCACCAATTAGGGTAGACCGTCTGCTTGATAGGAGAGTGCTTTACCAGCTGAGTCGTCTCCCTAGCCCGAGAGCCTCTTCCCATCTGCCAGACTTGTCCAGAGAGCTTCTTCTGGAGGTCGCCTTTACCACGCACTCACCGTGCGACAAATGGGGCAGACCCTGACAGCCTTGTGCAGTAAGAGCTGAGCTTCCTGCCAGTGCGCTCTCCTCTGAAGTGTGTGCCTTGGCTCTGAGCCCGGAGGGATGCTGAAGGGGAGGCTTTCTGCAGCTCTAAGTCAGCCATTTGTTATTATTATTAATACTACATTTATTTTGCATTTATTAATGTAGTGTGTGGGTGGATGTGGGTATTGGAGTGGGTGAATGGTGTGCCACAGCATGCACATGGAAGCCTGAGGGAGGTGTCCAGGAGTTACTTCCACCCACCATGTGAGTCTAGGCTTGGTGGCAGCTGCCTTTATCTGCTCAGCCATCTTGCTCCAACCCCCAAATTACTAAGCCAGCTGTTCTTCATGGTTGGGAGTGGGCTCTGGAGCTGTGGGGTGATGGCAAGATGAATGCATCTTCAGATGCATTCGGGGCTGTGGTCCCCTCTTGCTCTGCGCACTCTGTGCACAGGTTTCGGAACTAGACCCCGGGGAGACTAAATTTGCGGAAGCGGAGTAGCCAGGCTGAATTTGTTACTGAAAGGCAAAGACTGAGAGAAGAGAGGTTGTGGCCTGCTGGACCATCTCATTGTGCGCTAGCTCATCTGGACACTTTCGCTGTGGGTTGGATGTGAACAGCCCCTCACAGCCCACGTGTTCGAACACGTTGTCCGTGGCTGGTGACACTGTTTGGGAAGTTGTAGAACCTGTAGGAGAGGAGGACTTCCTGGAGGAAGTATGTCATTGGGGGCGGGCTGCTGTGGATATCACTCTATATAAATAAAACACTGATGGCCAGTGACCAGGCAGGAAGTATAGGCGGGACAAGAAGAGAGGAGAATTGGGGAAACAGGAAGAAGGGGGAGGGACACTGCAACCACCTCGAGGACAAGCAACATGTAAAGAAGTTGGTAAGCCACCAGCCACGTGGCAAGGTATAGATTTATAAAAATGGGTTAATTTAAGATAAAAGAACAGTTAGCAAGAAGCCTGCCACGGCCATACAGTTTGTAAGTAATATGAGCGTCTGAGTGATTTTTTTTTTTTTTTTTTTTTTTGGTTTTTTTCGAGAAAGGATTTCTCTATGTAGCTTTGCGCCTTTCCTGGGACTCACTTGGTAGCCCAGGCTGGCCTTGAACTCGCAGAGATCTGCCTGGCTCTGCCTCCCGAGTGCTGGGATTAAAGGCGTGCGCCACCACCGCCCGGCCATGAGTGATTATTTTATACGTGGATTGTGGGACTGCGGGGCTTGGTGGAACCTGGAGAGAAGATCTCCAGCAACAGCGGGCCTTCAGTTTGATATCACAGTCTCACTTCCTGTGGACCCCTGACCCCTGACTGTGGACACAATGCTCCAAGCTTCTTCATAGTCCCACTTGCCTGTGACCTCTGTACCCCTTTAACTGTGAGACAAAATTAACCCAGCCACTCTTGAGTTCCTTCTTGTTCAGTATTTGATCACAGTAATGAAAAAGTAACTAACACACTGTGGCTATAAATATAGATGGATACGCCTATTAAATTGGTACTGTGAGGCCAGTGTTCCCATCTGTGGGCATTTGTGTCCTGATCAGCCATATGCTGGATGGTCAGGACAGTCTCTTCAGAGGAAAACTGTGGTTGATGCCAACAGAGCCCGAAACAATTAT